AGCAGAATATAGATATTTTATTCCTTATGATTGCATGTTGTAGTAAGTACAGTTCTTAAGAAGTTTAATAAAAATGCTTTCAAAAGACGGAGAAATCCTAATTAATGTAATTGCAAAATATTAACCCATGAAACAAATGAAGCCACAGAAAATCAGTGGCACTTAAATAGATCCTGTATAGATGATGCCTGCATTTATATACATATAAATATTTTTTAAAAAGTGAACCCTTCACGTTTGTGTAGTTTGTTCACATATTATTTCATTTTATATTTATGTTAGCTATGTATCTTAGAGTAAGTATACATGTAATTACAAAACTACAAATTCACAAGGACATTTAAATAGTTTTCTTGTAATTGGACAGTATTTTAAATTTATTTAAGTTCATAATCTTTTATTCTAGAACATGAAAATGACTCAAATTGTTATTACTCCATCTGAGATTCTTTGATTTACTTAAGAATGGGTTTAACACTGTTCTGTATTTTGGTACGCTTAAAATAGGGTCTGAAGAGTTAGGCAGCAGAATTGTATTATTTTGGTTGTAATTTGCCTTTCAGTTCCTGGGTTCACTCTAGAAAGCATGGCCTCAGACTTGAAATTAACTTCTATGATAGATGCTACTACAAACTGAATTGTGTCCTTCTCAAACTCATCAAGAACTGCTATTCAACGTGACTTTGTTTGGAAATAAATATTTGGTGGAAATTAAGGTCATATGAGGTCATAGATGTTAGTTCCTTCATAAGAAAAGACACTCATGCTCTTTCTCTGTATCTCTCTGTCATTTTGTCTGTGTCTCTCTACTATCCACCCTGTCTTCATGTGCATACAGCAAGGAAAATATGGTGAAAAGTGGCCATGTGAAAGCCAGGAAGAAGACCCTCACCAGAACTGAACCAAGCTGCCATGCTGACCTTGGACTCCCAGCCTCCAGAACTGAGAATGTTGTTAAAAGTGTCTAATCATGGCATTATGTCACTGCATCCCACATAGACTAATACAGTTTTCAAGGTTCAACTAGGTGGCTTGTTCACCAAGAGGAAAATTTGTTTTCTCCAGCATCTAAGAGGCTTGCCCCTTTAACAGACAGCTTGAGTAAAGGAAGCTCTTTAAGAAAAGCCATCTGCGGAAGTCTGCATCTGAGGTAGAGGCCAGCCATACTCCAAGGCCAATGTTCGAGTAATGGCCCTCCTTCCCTATGCTAACTCCTGTTTGTACTTCCAGATGAATGCACAAGATCACACAGTGCTTTGTTAGATGTCACAGGGTCAAATCATAGTACCAGAATAATCTGAGGGAAAACAGAGAATGTTTGGTTATAATTTCTAAGCCGCTAACAGCTGAGAGTAAATTTGAGCTGAGAGTAAATTTGTAGCTCCTGTGAGGTTTCAAAAGTGAGGACCAGATCAGTATCTACCGGAGCCGTGCTTCTCAATTTAATGTGCATACATATCATCTGGGAATTTTTTGTCTTTTTCCTTTTTTATCAGTACTGGGGATCGAACTCACAACCACACACTTGCAAGGCAGGCGCTTATGCTACTGAGCTAAATCCCCAGCCCCGTAAATAGAATGTATGTGACCTTTTTTTTTTTTTTTTTTTTGGTACCAGGGATTGAACTCGTGACCTCATGCTTGCCAGGCAGGTGCTTATACTGCTGAGCTAAATCCCTGGCCCATCTGGGAATTCTTGTTCAGTAATTGTGAAGAGTGGGCTGAGGTTATTTATTTCTAATAATGCTAATACTGAGGGTAGGAGGGGGGAATCCAAAGACCACCCTTGGAGAAGGGCCTAGATTTAGACTATGAGGTCCTTGAGACCAAGGTTTCCCTTTTGATCCCCAGACTTGATGTGATGCCAAGCACAAAAATAAATTCTCAATAAATACTTGCTGGATTGAATTAGTAAGGACACTGGTTACAGGGACAAATTTTGTAGATTAATTTTCTGTTAGAGTAAGCTTCTAGTTTAAAACCAAATGGATAAAATCAAACCATAATTAAATGTTTTAACTATTACTTTATACATTTCCAAGCACTTTAATTAAAAATAGCTTACTTGATATCTACTCGTACAAAGTTTTCTGAAGAGGAGTTGTCATTATTGTTTTGTTATAAATGATAGAATCAAAGGCAGAGAGAGCACGTCACTCACCTGAGAAAGGCTAGCACCACATACACTGCAATGCGGGTCTTGTGACTGTAGATTTTTCCTGCTGTATTTTGCTTTTTTTTTTTTTTATCGGTACCAGGGATCGAACTCATGACTGTGCCATTTGCAAGGCAGGCGCTTATGCCGCTGAGCTAAATCCCCAGCCCATCCTGCTGTACTTTGCAAAGAGTAAAAACTTGACTAAAAGTGCTTATGTATTTAGGGTCATACAATTTGAAACAGTTGATGCTCTTCTTTTTCTATAATTATTATTATTACTTGGCATAGAAAAGCTAATATGTCAAAATATAATCATGATGTGACATGAGGATATTCATCAAAAGTAATATAGCTCATGATCTCTTTGGGCTGCTTGAACAGACCAGATGACACTGAAGGCTTTTGTCTCTCTTCTAGCAGAGGGGTTGCACTCATGCTCAGCTTCCCTTATAACCACAGAGCTCCTCCCCCAGAATGACATCTCACAGACACCAATGTCCCCAGGTGCAGGGAAGTTGGAGCTCCCACATAGCTCTTCCAAAATTATCACCTCTGACACAATTCCTTTCTTGATTGACCTAAAAGAAAGAAAAATAACAGGGTGGGTCTCCCTACATCTGAAATCAGACTGACAGTATGTCTCTAGCATGCCTTGGGATAATGGTAAGCAGCCATGTCTTCCTCTCCTGCTGATCCTGGCTGACTCCAAGGCCCTAAAATGTTGTGGTACTCACCTGCACCTTTGTACTGGAGGTGGCAATCACCAAAAGACCCCTTAGCTTGCATGGCAGAGGGGGCTTTACAACTCACATTTACTCCTTGTCACCTGTCCTAGTTGCCATAAACCATTTTAATGTGTTTTTCCCACAGCATACTAGAATGCAAGGCATATAACAGATAAAAAATAGCCATCTTCTTGATCTTCATAATCTTGCCCTGTGCTCTTTCTTAGCCATGTCTGATGGGTTTTTGTGAAATACCCAGGGATGTTAATAGACGATACCACTCCTGACAGTATATCTAAGAATAGCAACATTCTGGAGGTGGCCTCAGGTCAAAATGGAGTAGAGAAAGTTTCATTTATGAAGAGCTTAAATGCCCAAAGCACCATGTTTCTCTTTCCATAGAAATGCCTTGTAGCTTCTGGCCTGAACACGCTGCAGCCTCCCCTTGCTGAGGTTTCCCACCAGGGAGCAAGAAGGATGTATGCAGTTGTCCCCTGCTTCCCAAGAGGCAAGGATCCCTGGAAAGAGCCTAGGATGCTGTCAGAACTCCTCTTTGTATAGTAAGGGGAGGAACTTCTGACTAAAGCTGTGGGAAGGCCTGAGGTACAATGTGATGGCATTTGTGACCTCTAGGTATGAATTCACCCTGCAGACACCTGAGCAAGAAATATTTTTTGAACCCAAATGTTATTACTTGAGGGAAGGGCATGTATGCACATCTACATGTATTAACAACCCACCAGTTCCTTGGACAGTACAGAATTCCAGTAAGGGAGACAATGTAATGGTTAGACACCTGGGCTTAAAGCCCTCAGTTTCAAGGTCTAACTCTGTCCTTTATTTGTCTCTTTTGAGAGCTTTGATTATGTACATTCTCTAAGCCTGTTTGTGAATGCAAGCAAGCAAGCAACATCTGACTTCGTATGGTATCAAGGAGAGAAAAAACTGTATGGCAAGGATGGGCATCATCTTGGCACATGACTTGAGAACTCATGATACGTTAGCTCTTGGAATGGAATCCATACCAGAATATTTTTCATTCCCTAGGACTTGTTGTTATACTTGGTTCTGCATCCCCCCACCACAGTTTAGGCAGTTCAACCCATTAAGCTCCTTGGAGTAGAGGCATTGCTTTGCTAGAGCACATGTCCCTGTGGCTCAGTCTCTTACATGTGGCCATGGACTTATTAGTTGAGAATCTGTCTCTTTTGTCCACTCCCACCCCATCTCCATCCCACCAACTCTGTTCTCTTTTCACACCGCTTCAATTTGGATGTGGTTCCATATGTTTATGGATCAACGTAATTTGTGGCCATGTAGTTTCATCCCCATGTTTTAGTATCCCATGACCACTCTAGGACCTGTCTTTGAAGTTGAATTTCTCAGTTCAGACCAGACCTATAGAGTTGATGGTCTCCAAGATTTCAAGTTGCAGTCAAGGTTCGAGTCGTACCTTGGTTTGGGAATGATTTGGTTTGCAAACAATTTGGTTTGCAAACTGAAGCGTTTGGCAAAATTTTATTTTTCTTTGCAAACTCTGCATCAGTTGACAAACATGACTGAAACTTTCTTTCCCACACAAACACAAATGTATTCATCTTTTCCAAAATTGTAGAACAAATAAAGTTTGTGAACCAGGGTATCGCTGTACTTCTCTCGCCAACGGCAAGAAAGTAATAAAATTAGGTTGTATTTGTCTAACTGAATTGTGAGTGTACAGTCAATACTGACATCTATCACTAAGTGTACTGTGGTTACCTAACACCTCAATTTCCTTAAACTGTCAGAGTTTGCTCTGTTTTGTTAAGGAAATTAAAGACATCCTGTATCTCTCTCAAGTGTTCTGAGTAGGAAAGTACGCTGTAAGGTCACCCCACCCCTTGGGGTTGGTATGTATTTAAGCCTATTTTCAAACAGAATAGATGGTGGGCTATTAGGCAACATTTCTTTGTGACTGTACAATAACAAAAATAGTGAGAAGAAACGGACAGAAACCTCAAGTTTTAGAAACGGTGTTTCAAAAATTTTTTTCCCTTTTCTGTAGTGCAAACTGGAATATGTTATCTTGGAAAGCACTGTTTTAGGAGACTTGAAAGAAATTTGCTACACAACTTACATTTTATGTGGTCAATCCTCATTTAATGGAATAAATATAAGCAAACCCAAAATACTCTAGGTAAACTCACACACCTCACTCGTTTCAGAAGCTTTTGAAACCTTCTCCTCTTCTTTTTCTCACCTTACTTCTGGTACTGGGTGGAATGAATCTTCCATAGAAGTGTGAATAAGAAATCTAACAATACTCAGAACTAGAAGGAGCTGGCAGAGCTTGTTCAGCCTGAAACTGTGAAGCCATGCTAAGATACAATAGAAGGAAAGCCGGGAGGGGAATCTCTTAGCTCGGCACACATCAGCCATCTCTACCTGAACAGAAGAGACATGAGCTGGTGTAAGTGCCACATACTATCAAGCCATGTCAGTGACACAGTACCGCAGTGAATGTAAGCAGACAATGCATACATGTAGCTGACAAAGACACGGAATCCTTCATCTCCAGCAGCTCCTGCAGCAGTGGAAATTCACTGCTTCCAAGGCAGGCTGTTTACTATGCTTACGATTTCTCATTTACTTTGGAGAATAAAGTATTATCTTGTCATTACTCATTGGACTCATCATCCGTTAATCAACTCTTTCCTTTTTGCACTCTAAAAAACGTCATGGGGTAGTAACAGAGGCAATGTAAAATGCTGCCACTTGGTAGTACATAGCTGAAAGGGAAAGGGTGGCACAATTCAGAGCAGCTAGAATGGACAAGGAAACAATGCGTAGTTTATATTTTTTCCTGACCAGCTGTCTTGCAGTAGTCACACCAAATATCACAGGAAGTAATGACGAAAACAGTGGATCTTATTCTTTCATTAAAGCACTGTCAAACCTCAAGATTAAAGAAGTCTCTCAAACATAACACACTGTAACTTACACTTGGCTTCTCTGAATGACTGATTTATAATCAACTCCAGGTTGTCTTTGACGTTCTACTATCTTTCATATTTGCATACTTAGAAGGTGTGTGAGTACAAAAACATTAAAATGAAATTCACTCTAAAGTTACAGTAGAATGACATGTAATTTATTCATATAACTGACAGTAGGCAGTACTCAAAATTCATTTAAATAAGCAAGTGATTACACAAACATCTAATAATACTAAAATTGATAGTTCAAAAGTATAAAATACCATGGGTATGAAATGCCATGGTAAATACTATTCAATAGACTACAATCATAATTCCAAACTGAATCACATTTTCAAAATGATTTTTAGCAATTTTGGAATGATTTGACTTTCCTTCTTCCAAGCAATTTACTTCTTTCACTGATACAAACAACGTCATTATTTTCAAGAACACTGCAGAGTTACATGGCTTAGGTTTCTCTCTTGCAATACACTTTCTTGTGAGTTGTTATTAAATATTGCCCACTGACATGGAAAACAATTCAGCCAGCATGCAGTTCCCCAAGCAAAGATGCTTGGATCAGAACAGTGCTGGATAGAATTTTGAGTTCAGCAAGAGACAGGCAGTGAAACATCTTTTGCAGTTTTTGAAATATGCTCACTTCTTTTCTAAGGCTTTAAGCATCATAAATATATTCAGACATCCAAGCCAGTGAAATTATGGGAATAAAATAATTTGATATCCAGATGACAATGACACAATTGCAACTGGGATTAAGTTACAATATAATTCTGCAGTACTTCACACGAGACAGCTCCTACCTAGATACTTTTTGGAAGCCTCAATATGTATTTTGTGAAGCACAGTTATGTACTTTTTGGAAGCCTCAATATGTATTTTGTGAAGCACAGTTATGTTTGCAGGAAGAGTTTGGCTTATCATGTGTCTGTCTGTATTAATTTAAAGTCTTAAACTTTATCAGAATGACACCTAAGCATGAATCAGGCTTCAAAAGCTAGCAGCAGTAGTCATGAAACAGATCAATAAATTAAAAGGCTTTCACAGAATGGAATTCGGCTAAACTCTTCACATACAAAATACATCTAGAGAAATACAAGTCTTTAATGTTGAGTATGAGGGAGAGAAAAAAATCTAAAAAAATAGAAAACTCTCTCCATACCTGGATGTCAAGGCAAGATGTAACACTGTACAATGCCACGATGTGAGCAGTCAGTAGAAGACAGATGTTCCAGAAATAGTTGTATCTGGGGATCTCAAGAGTATGAGTAAGAGATGAAAATACTGTACCAAAAGGCATGCATATAATCACTGTGTGCATTCAGTGTATGAGCTATGACCTAAGCAGAAATCTAACACAACAATGAGGCAGTGTTCCAGGGTATCTATTTGAACCAGAGTGAGTGACTACATGTTGATTAAACCTTCTGAGGCAGCAAAATGTGGGCACAGTGCCATGTCTGGGTTTTGCAGCTGTTTTATGATTCTTTTGCGGAATTTCTCCCGCACACGATTAAATTCCATTATGTCCATGGGGTCCTCTTCAATCCAAAATTTGTGAAATTCATGCATCAAATAACCTGTTAGAGATAAGACAGTAAGAATGCAGGAGAAAAAGTCCTTAATTATATTCAAAAACATCCTGAATTAGAACAAAACAACAATAATCATGGAGCTCAAGAGGACATCAAAATTTAGCCAGTGTGACTTTATTTTTTTTAAGGCCATTAGAGTAGATACTACCAATCTGCAAGATTTTTGCAATTGGTCCTGGAATTATTCTTAATTCCAAATAGCCGAAAGACAAATCAATTCTGCCATTTCCTGAATATGAGTCATGCTAGGAACACATTTTGAAAGGCCAACAGTGACTGCTTTACCCTTCCCTTTCCGATTAAATTAACATAATGGTCTGATTTTTCAAAATTACTGAGCTCCACCTTTTTTTCTCTTGGTACTCGATTTAACAACGTCTTAAATTACCCTGACAAATCAAACAAATGCATTCTGACAATCTATTATGAGACAATAAGAATGTAAATCAACTCCGAACAGCACAGACTGGTCATTAAGGAAGGTACATGAAATTGTTAATAAGACTTCCTGCTCTGAAGAATAATTTCACAGTCAAGTGAATTTGTATTTCAAGTGTTAACCATGAATGATCTGGAGTGGGAAAATTTTGGGAGAAAGTTAATTTTATTATTATTATTATTATTATTTTGGTACTGGGGATTGAACTCGTGATCTTGTGCTTGTCAGGAAGCGCTTGTGCTGCTGAGCTAAATTCCTGGCCCCAAAGTTAAGCATTTGATACAAGAATCTTTTCATGTATTGTATTTCCCACTATAACCCCTCCCTCCAAAACATTTGCTTGGTGTTTATCCACCACATTTAAAACTGAAATGTGAACAGTTCTTTAAAAAGTACCAGGTATTTGTCTGCAGTAAACCCATTTCAAGTTCAGGTGTCTCTATATATTAGAAAAAAGTATATGAAGAAATAATGCTGATTAAGAGAGAGAGAGAGAGAGAGAGAGAGAGAGAGAGAGAGAGAGAGAAAGGAGAATAAAAGAAAATAAACACTACAATTTGTTTTAACTTCAGCAGCAGTAGAACAGGAGAATAGAAGCCAGGGCCCTGGAGCCAAAACCCTGGTTTAAATCTCAGTCCTCTTCTATATATAAACAGAGGAGGAGGAGTGAGTGAGCAGGAGTGGGAGATGATGGGGCACCGGAAGAGAATTTGGAACAAATACAGTTAGAATTAGCAGTGAAAATACCTTCAACAGAATTCCATAAACAGATTTTAAAGAGGCTTTATACATATCTCACTGTAGCACAGAATTAGGAGGGCCCTCCTTCCAACACATTATCAGACACTGACCCAGATGCATCTTTTTTTATTTTTCAGTATGCTCTTTAAGTGCATGCTTTTCCAACAAATGCATGAGTAAGAAGAGAGATTATTTCTTTCATAGTAGTTTTGGGTTGAGTGCCTCACTTGTTGCAGGACTAGTCTGTCTTTAGGCCCTCCAAATGTAGTAACTAACGTGACTGCTTTTAGCATTTCTGAGGCAAACACACACGACCATCATACAGTTGGTGCCTGGGCTACAGGAGCTAGGGCTATCAGAATCTGAGTTCCAGATCAGCAAGGCAACAGAATCCCATGAGCCACATCATCTGCTTCTGCTGTTTGGATTTCTTGAGGGGGCCAAAGTAGCATCCAAGTTTGAATGTCTCTGGTGACAACACTGAAGGTTCCATGATGGGGAACCTGATTATGAAAATTCTGATTCTTCCTCAGGCTGAGTCCAGCACTACTGCCCTGTATTTCATGGAACAAATTCAACTGTTCTCCAACTCAAGTATCTGAAGCATGCTTTATGGCCAGTGTCCATCTCTTCTCTAAGTTAGGCAATGCTCCTTGTCATTTTTCACATGCCATGGTGGAACCTGTTTATCATCCTGGTTATTTTAATAAACACCAACAGAAACTTATTCCTTCTAATCTCAGTGTTTTATTCCACCAAAAGCACCAATCATCTGTCCATTTCTGTCACTGGAGAAATTCCTAAAATATCCAGAAATGGTCTGGAATACCTGTTGAAAATACAAATCCTACCAGAGTCAACCATACTTGCAACTCAATAAGGTGAAATTTGTGTCACTGAAGTTTGAGGACATTTGGTCTAGAAGATGCCATCTCTCTAAGTTCTTTGGTTTCCTTCTAAATATTACAATTTGCATGGCTCTAAATGAAATCTACGATCATGTATAATTTCTTAGTAAATAAAATGCACACATAATTTTCCTTGTTGGTCTCTGAACTCAAACATGACTGGGTTACTTTGTATGGAGAGTCAGATTTCTGATACTATGATTCTAAATCATTCACGATGAATATCATTAGTACCTCAAGAGTAAGACATCACTTGTACAGACAATGACCAGTGGGCATTGTAAAAAAAATCATCTTTTAAAATTTTTATTTTTAATTATACATACATGGGTAATAGTGTGATAATTTGATACATGTCTATAATGCAAAATAATTAAATCAGGACATATAGCATTTCTGTCTCCTTAACATTTATCATCTTTTAATGAGAAATTGAATTTTTGATACTGTACATAAAATGTTCATTTTTCTACAATGTGTGGATATGCTGGAAACTTACTCTAAAGATGATGTATTATAGCACATTATTATTACATAAGAATGCAGATCCATTACATTTCCCCATTTTCTACCTTTTGCACAATAACAGAAAAACATTTTGGAAGGTTTAAAAAGTTGGCCAGGGTAAGGGTAGAGATGGCAGTGGCAGGGGTTCATAACCTGATACATTCTCAAGATATTTCCTTTTACGACTACAAATTCAAACAATGAAGCTTTTAATTTACTTATTTATTGGTATTGGGAATTGAACACAGGATCCTGCACTTGCCAGGCAGGTGCTTACGCTACTGAACTAAATCCCCAGCCCGCAAACTGTAAAACTTAGAGACAGATCCCCCAGCACTCATTCTATCCCATTAGGAAAAGAGACCATGTAACATGACCATAATAGAAATGCAGAAATGGTGCTCTGGCTTCCAAGGTAAATAGTACAATTATAAAGTTCCACTCTGTATAATATTACAGAGTATTCAAAGGCTCATTTGGTCAAATGGTCAGATGACTCATCTGTCAACTAACAAACATGTAACAGACACAACAGTAGATATTGAAGACAAAGAAAAAGATAGTGTTCTTATGTTCCCAAATTCTCCCTTCTTTCCAAGAGGAAGGAGGTATACAATTACCGCTAATGACTGGGAGCTAAGGAAGCCTACAAATGTGGAAAGGACAGGGAGAAAACAGGGGTCAAGCTATTACTACAGTCTCTCATTTAATTCCTGCAATGGCTTTGTGGGGTAGGCAGTACAGATTCTCTCTCCATTTTAGGGGAAGATTCTGGGCTCTCACAAGATACTGTACTTGAATAGTACAGAATTAACAATTATAGCTGGAAGCCAGGATCTGAAACTAGCTGGCTATCTACCATTGCAACAGGCTCCTTTTCCCAAAGCATTCCATTCCTCTGGTTCTCATTCCTACGGAACAGTTCTTTTTGAAGGTCAAAGAAAAGATAATTCCTTTTCTTCTTCTGGCCAGTGTACTTTCCTTTGCTTATAACATCTAACTGCACTCTATTTTGGTGGGATTCTATGTTCAGTGGAGCTTTATATTGAATGCAATTTTTGTACCATATTTCCTTGGCAGTACAATCTTCACTGAATAACACTATAAAGTCAGAATGATGGAGCCATTATATTCTTATATTCTTCCACCTAGATAAAATGCTTGTTTTGAATACTAATTTGGTTTTCCATCCTGAGCCTGAAGCATGTTTATTGCTGTTTGAAAGTGTCTTCGTTTTGCTTCGCTGCATCCAGTTAGTAGAGAGCAGAGACATGTGCAAGGACATAAGTAATCACAAGAACGCTGCAGAGGAGTCATGCAGAACTAGTTATGTTTGAGAGATGAATAATAAATCTAGGGCAGAGTTTGCTTCCTCTAAAGACCCCTGAGTCCCTCTAACTATAACCCAATCCATAGGAGATTGCCGCTATTTTCAAAATCTGAAGAGTGGCTAGAAAAATAAGAATTTGTTGTCTGCTTACTTATCTGGGCCAGGTTTCTCTTGGAAACATACTAATTTAGGCCAAAGCTAAAAATTCCCAGATCAACCAGATTCCTTTTTTCACTGTGAAGACCATCACCCAATATTTTAGTCCCATCCATCTATCCAACAAAGAGTTGCAGAGCACTTGCTGTGTACTAAGCTCTGCATTGAAGATATGGCAGAAACAAAACAGACATTACTATACTTACATGCAAATTTTCTATGGTTTTAGCTTTGATTATTTTCTAGGAGATGAATCTCACTTTACTGTGTGGCTCTGACTTTTTCTCTAACATTGCTGAATTCCAAATCTACAGATTGAGTCCTCTAGTTCTTCAGAGCTCCAATGCCTTACATTATTAGGTTGTTCACTCTCTGGCTCCCTATGGATTTCCCAAAAGGAATTTATCTTCAGTTTGTCTAAATTTAAACTCCTTCTATTTTCCCTTAAAATTGTTTCCATGATTTCTCTAAAGAGCATGGAAACATAGAATATAGTAAATATAAAGGGCAAAGGAAACATAGAATGAAGTCTTATTTAGCTGCAAACTCATACTCTTTAATGAGATAATGCCAAGCTCTTCAGGACCTGCCCCAATTCTGCTCTTACATTTCCAGCATCATCCCCTTCTCACACGCTCAGCTCTGTTCCTTGGATTGCCTCTCTCTCTTTTGCATTATGGTCTTTGCCCTTGTTACTTCCTTGGGCTAGGCCACTCAACCACCACTGCTTTATTTACCACTATTCAAACTTCAGACCTCACTGAAAATGGTATTTGCTTTGAGAAACTTTCCTTGATTTTCATACAGTGAACTATGACAGCTTTAGGCTTTCACTACTTTTAAAAATGGCAACTTTTCTTCCTCAATACAAAACTTTTCCCACTATGTATTAATTATTTATTTAGATGCCTGTCTGCCTTATTTTTATTATTGTTATTTGTCTTTTTGAGACAGGGTCTCTCTACGCAATTCAGGCAGGCCTTGAGCTCACTTTGTAGCTTAGGCTGGTCTCGAACTCCCAACGATCCTCCTGCCTCAGCCTCCCAAATGCTGGGATTACAGGCATGAGCCACCACGCCCGGCTTCTGTCTGCCTTATTACAAAGCCTGATCTACAGCAAAATTTTAATTTCGTTGGCCATGTCAGAGTTGTTATGGGAGTAAATATAATCATCTAACTGTCAAAATAAAAGCTTTAATTGTTATGCAAAGAACTTACATCTGTTAGGTCATAAAGTATATACATCTTTAAATTTCCTTTTCATCTACGTTATGGATATACATTGTTCAGAGCTGAACAGTTTAACAAGTGCCATTACAAAAGTACAATGAAAAGGTTGCGGCCTCCTCTGCCTTCAGTCCTGCATTTTGACTCTTTCAGCTGACTATGTTGACTGTTGAGCGCTATAATTCTAATACACCTTCCACACTTGATGTTTTTTAAGATTTAGCACCCTTTCACCTTCTAACCACATGCTCACTTGTTCTCTTACTCTTGTTTTATTACCCAGAACTAACAACTGCATTCTTGTCTATTTGCTAAGTTTCCCACTTAAGTTAACCTTAAACCATCTTCCAAGTACTGTATAACAACGTCCCCTGAATACATTCAAACACGGTAATAGTGTATCCATTTCATATTCTTCAAAGTCTCCTAGAGGCTTGTGATCTGCTAAATCCAGATTTGTTCTTTTCAGCCTATTCCACAGATATGATTTTGGGCCCTTTCTTCATCTTAATCCTGGAGATTCCCTTTTCTTTTCCTTTTTGGATCTATTTATTTCTTTTGGGATTATTCTTTAATTTTGTGGAAATGTATTTTTCAGGAGCTTCTTGATAAAGGTACAAGACGGTAAAATGTTTAAGGCCTTTCACTAAAAAGTCTTCATTCTATTTCAATATTTAATTGATAAATCAGCTTAAGAATAGAATTCTAAACTGGAAATCATATTTCCCTTATATTTTCTTAAATTTCTGCCAAACTTATTCCACAGTCAGGGGTTGGAGGTTTAGCTCAGCAAATAAGTACCTGTCTGGCAAGCTGAGGTTGTGACTTTGATCCCCGGTACCAAAAAAAAAAAAGGATACAAAATTATTCCATTGTGTTTTAGAAGACAATGTTGCTGTTGACAAGTCAAAGTCACCTTAACTCCAAATTCTTGTATGATAGCTTTGGAAAACTTCAGGGTTATCTCTTCCCAGTGTCATAACATTTCTTGATAATGTGAAGTTGAGTGTGTGCCACTTTTAATTGATTTTATTGGTGCTTACTAGTTTAAATATGAAAATCCACCCTCCAATTCTGAAAATTTTTCTTAACATATCTTTTGATTGTTACTTTTTAGTTTTCACTTTTTTTGACACTCCCATTCTTCAGACATGAGACTTCCTAGGATGGCCCCTTGATTTTTCACCCTTTACTTTTCACCTTTAATTAGTGTCTTACTGGTTTACTTTCTGGGCAAAGTTTCTACCTGTTCTTCTGATCTTGGAGATTTCTTTTTTGCCAATACACAAACCACAGTCAACCCAAGTAGTCTTCAGAGCTATAATGTTCAATGCTGTGCTATGCTAGATCAGAGGGAGACCCCTGTGATATATTTAGGTCAAACCAGAAGATGATACAATGGTGATCATGCAAGAGTTGGCAAGGAGAAAAATTCATGGTATTTGGAAGACAAGTAGGTTTTTGAGTGAGAAAATAAGCAAACAAAAACCTGGAATCAAAGGAAGAACCAAAGGCCCCAAAGCAGCCAAGTCCCAGAAATGTCCAAGTGTTGCCCCTTGTCTGAAGTGCTGTATAGAAACCCATGTTTATAACTACATCGCAGGACACTTACAGAATGTTTGCTGGAAGTGAGACAGTGTCGGAGCTTCGGGGGCGATGTTGTAGAAATGGGTTTTTAGAGCTCCACTGAGCAGAAGATTATAAGCCAGATCAGTTATATTGATGCCCACAATTGCAAAGGAGTACCTGCAAAGTGACAAATGCAAAACCAGTGGTGTATATGGGAAATAAGTGCTTCAAAATGATAACCTGAGTTTTAAATCCCTATTGAATTTTCCATGGCCCATTGCTCTTCCCTTGCTGCTCAATCAAAACCTTAACTTTTTAATTTTATCATAAAATTTCAGTAATGTGTAGCAAGAGAACTGAAAATTTATATACTTTGATTTGGTAATTCCACTTCCAACATACAACAGATACAAGGGACAAAACTTTATATATAAAGATATTCATTACAATATTATTTGTAAAGGCAAAATGCAGAAACTATTCAACTATTCTAAAGAAGACTACAGAAATAAATTATGGTAATCTCATATAACATTATAGTTGATTAAAACTGTATTTTTCTAAGATACAAAATGTTATGGGTAGATAAGCCAAGTTCTTTTATATACACATATGTGCAGAAAAAAGGCCAAAATGAAATGTCACAAAATATTAATATGACTTTGCAAGAGTAATAAGGTTGGGGTGTTTTTTTGTGGTTTACTTTCTATAATAAGTCATTCATTGATTTTCAAATGAGAAAAATTTAAGCATGTTAGCACAAAGAATATTTAGTAGGCCCTTTTCCACATGTCTATTAAAAGGAAATTGAGCTCTCAAATTTTCTCTGCTACTATTACTCCAGCACAGAAATATCTTTAGATGAAATAGATATTATTAAAAACTTCTGAAGTAAATTTTTATCTAATAGCCCAATACTTGAGAAGAATCTTTAAAAGAAAATTACCAAATAGAACTCTAATGATTTCTGAAAATCATTTCCACACAGTCATAACTTTCTATATATTACCAGTTGATTACAAAGTAACCAACAAATAAATCTAAAAACACAAAAATCACTCCTTTTAAAAATCTGAATGAATTACATATTTCCATAAGAAAAAGTAGAATTTCATCTATGTTATTGTTTACAGTACTTTCAGGACATTGCTGCTTTGTCTGGATCAGTCTGTAACACGTGTGAGATCTCACACTTACCCAATTGCTTTATCCAACTTTTTCTTCTCCCATTCTGCTTTGCTGAATTTGCTGGATGAATGAAGAGAGTAAACAAATAAACAAACACAGTTGATCTTTAGTTGATAATTCTCTTCTAATGCTTATGTTAAAACTGTTAACTACATGTAGAGATGTCCGTGTTCCAGTTATTCAGCACTAATCAATTTGAGTTTAAATGGAGTTCAGCAATGGATTATTTAAAGCCTTGCTATTTACCTCCTATGTACTTTATTACAGCAGTGGGAGACAGTGCTAAAGCCAAATGCTGTGATTCTCTTTTACTTTATCATTAATTATCAAACACCACCTCCTCTGTGAATGCTTGCCTGGCACCTCTCCCTCCTCTAACTAGCTCTGCCGCCTCACACTTTCATGACTCCTAGCTGGGCTTTGTCTCATTTTTATCTCACATAATTTATGCTACTCAGCTTTACTAGTGATGTCTCCTTATTTGTGGTTACTTACAGGACATGGTAGCTCAAAAAGATTGGATCCCTTTGTCCAGGAAAAACGAACAGAAAACTTAAAATGTAACAGTCAGATACCAAATAAAAGTTCAGTGATAAATAAATATATGAGTTAGCAAAAGGAGGAAGGAAAGTTGGTTGGCTTTTTAAAATTCTATTCCAACAAACTCTATGGCATTTAATCTGGCTACGCTGTCAGTCAAACATTAACCATCCCATTGTAATCTGTTTTATAATTTGAACTTCTGAAAAAAACTGTCTGCAGGAACAGTTCTATCATGATGCATTCTGAAAGCTGCCTGCTTTACATTCTGTTATTTTGTGTACTTGCATATCCACCCCACTCCCATTATGCTTCAAGCTGCCAATGTCTTGCAGGCAGCAACAACATTCTGCTCTTCTTAGTGAATGATACAACTTTTTCTTAGTGTTTTACACAGAAATTGTAGGTTAGTAAGAAATTTTAAAACTATAGTTACAGATACATGGCTTCCATCTAGGTAGGAGTGAGTTCTCCATAATGTATGGCAGATATTGCATTACAAAACATGCAGGTAATACACACAGCACATAAGCACAAAAACATTATGCAGATCTGACATATAACTAAGTGTGCTTTCTAGTCTGCAAATGACTGGGTATAATTCAAAGTAACTGCTTTTAATACATGTTAAAAATGGCCACCTGTTTTGAAAGTATAACATCTAACCAACAAATCACACAGCCAAAAAAGATCAGGAGATTTTTGCCTTAAACACTCACGTACAAAATAAAAAGAATTACATTTAAATTTTTTTTAATGTAGGAAATTATAAACATCTATTTTCCTTTCAACAAAGCTTTTTGCATTTTGTTTTCTGGGTTTTTTTCGGAGTACCAGGGATCAAACTCATGACCTTGCACTTGCCAGGTAGGCGCTTGTGCCGCTGAGCTAAACCTCCAGCTGAATAAAACTTTTTAAGTACATATATATCTATATTTGTTAGATTAAAATTTTATCTACAAGGAACTTTCAAATAACTATCACTTATTTCATTATACATTGGAACTCTAACGGTGGTTCAAAAAGATTGGATCCTTTTCTTCAGGAAAAACAAATAGCAAACTTAAAAACCAACAGTCAAAATTTGCCTCTTAAAATTGACTGTACTTTTATTCTGGAAGCACTTCTGTACTCTACAGATGGACATTTCAAGAGCAGTCACGTGTCATGCTTGTTGAAAGCCAGACAGGAAAGAGCTTTCTGTAGTAAATAATGTCTTCTCATTGTTGAACAGCTGAAATATTCAGGGCCCGACGGAACTGAAGTTGATACTGCAATTGTTTAATATACTTCTGTCAGACATCAGTGAAGAAGGATAGTAGATTTTAAAAATATTCTGTTTTGTATACAGTGACATTTACAATCAATTCGAAACAATCAATACCTGAGCTTCATTTCTTTAATTGTGCTGTAGCCTGTGGGATACAGCATGCAATTCTGTTTCCATGCTTATGCACATACACACAACACACACAAATTCTAGTCTCTTCTTAAGGAGTAGTTACACAGACTTTCAACTCCTCACTGATGACTGACGTAGGAAGTACAAAAATAAAATCTTTCTTTGAGATTGGCTCACAGAAAAAATTAATCTTCTTTCAATAGTTAATCATAAAACATTTTAAGATTGTTGTTATTTCCCATGGATCATAGAGGATTCATGTCTTCTGGTTGATGTTCCACCAGGAAATGCAACCTGAGAGCACACACAGACTCTGCCAACTTTGGAGAGTAAAGATGCTCTACGCTACAGAAATATGCAATTGAGAAGATGCAGTTTAAAATTTAAAACAGCTTGATTTTAACCACATACTATACCAAGAAACAGTTAAGTGATTTTCTTAAAATAAGTAAAACTAAATGAACTTTTCTTAATTTATAAAATATTTTAAATTTAAATTTGGGAAAGTATAATGTGATTTAATGAACCTTAGATAAATGAAGATTACAACAGTAAGGTGGGTGAAAAATAAGTAAAGCTATTCATGAATTTTGAGGATGTTATGCATAAACATTTATATTTGTTTAGACAACAAGAACACTAAAAACTAACCTACCATAATGCTAGAAGAAAAAAAAATATACAAAATCATGACTACAAAATAACATAACTCCTTATAACAGCTACTAACACACACACCCATACATTACTAGGATGGCAAAGTTTTTCTGTCTGACAGATTTCCATATAAAACATCTTTCTTGGAAATCAGGTCATGCGTGGTAAGTTGTTTGCTCTATTGGTGAAGGATGCAAAATATTCCTCCCATCAGTCACAGTTAGGGCTGAAGAAAGGTTCTTTGACATTTTCCATCAGATTAGTATAATCTGTTTTTCAGTTCATTAAAACACAGTCTCCAAATAATTAATCCTATTAGATAAAAGGTTGGGAAATATTCATTTTGGGAACATTTTCATTAATCTACATTTCTGTCAAAATTCTAAAACTCATTTTAAAACAAAAGCAATAAAACACAAATGCAAAGCAAAATACCTTATTTCCTCTTTAGTGATATCCCTTCATGCATTCAGTTAAAGAAAAAAATTTAGTCAGGTAAATGAAAAGGCAAATAATTTAGGATCTTAATTTAAAAACAAATAAACAAAGAAACACCTCAGTGATTCCAGACTTTCTCAGCCGGTCCCTGACTTTGTAAGGTCCATTCTCCCTGCTATTCTCCACTCACATTCCTTGCCTTTAAATTTTTTCTCTCAAAACTTGTCATTTGTTCATGCCTATTTCTCAATCTTCCCAGACACCAGTGACACCAGTGACATTACAGTGACATTTTGCACCCTAAATCCTGGAACATGCTTCGAGTTTTAACCCCCTTAAATGGTATTTACTAAGAGGGTTTGTTTGAAGAGCTGAAGTCTCATTTTTGGTAGGCTGACTCTCCTGGTAATCTATACTATTGATTTACATGTAAGATGATCTTTACCTAATCCAATAAGCCTAATCTGTCTTTTATTTTCAACATTTACCTGCATTTTGGATGAAGAGAGTCGGAGAGGACCTGCTGAGCTGCTGTAGCATCCTTTTCTGCAAAATATCTGCAGTTGGAAGGGGAAAAAATAAAATCATAACTCTGTACCTGCTGAATACATTCACTTTAATTCAATTTGAAGTCATTTTAGATTCCGAGATGGATACCTGTATAAGACTGTTACTTGTTTCAGTTCCTCCACAGAACAACTTTTCACGATAGATTTTTTCCAAATATAACTTGGTAGGGTGGTTGTGAGACACACCCAGCTCTAGGAATGTACTCAATAGATTTGAAGATCTAGCTATGAGTTATGCTGTTCTTCAGAGAGCCAAGTATATTTTCATCAAAAGTTATAGGGAAGGGGATCAAGCAGCTCAGCATTTGAAAGCCTCAGAAGCCTGAGGGAAAGAACCTGTTGAGGGGCTGTGACAGCCAAAGGGCAGAGAGAACGAATTCCAGGAAGTGTGCAAAGCTACATTTCAAACTTTTCTTGGAGGATAGTCACCGGATGCTTGAATAGAAAAATGTTAATGGGGATTTCAGATGTTAAAAAATTACAATTGTTTTTGGGAGAAAGGGGACGATAAAGTTTCTAATAAATAGAAAAGATCATTCTCAAAAAGTTTTTCTAAAGACAATAATAAAATAAAACTATAGCATACATTATTGAATTTGGCTGGGCACATAGCTGAGCTGTAGAGTACTTGCCTAGCAGCATGAAGCCTGGGTTTGATCCTTAGTACTACAAAAGAAAATAAAAAGCATAAATCAGAGGGTAAAACAACTTTGAATATTCCCTCAGAATATTTCAAACCAATCAGCAATTTTAACATGTTTGTGATTAATTAAATCAAGTTTTTTTTAATTTCATACTTTAGTTGGTCATCTGAATTTCTTCTTTAATATTGTGTCTCTTCATATTTTGGGGGGCAGTAATACAACTATTGTTAGGTAGGATAAAGAATCCTATAGAGAATAATAAATCTACTATAAAACATTTATATATCAATCTCATTTTACTTTATGTGCCATCTTACAGAAATTTTCAATTTTAATGTATGAAATTTATTAATTCTTCTTCAGTTGATGCTTTTTGCTTCAGTCTGTCTTTGAGAGAGTCTACCTTACTCAAATATCTTACAGATTTCCTCTTAAAGGTCAGATCGACTTGCTTTTGACTTCCAGGTTGTGAGCTGATGTGATGCAGAGATTTTCTAAATGGAAGGTCAGTTTTCCCAGTTCCAGCTATTCAAAAGCCAGTGTTTCTCCACAATTATAACACTAACTTAGTCATTAAAATCTACTTTGTAGTCATTCACATTACATGGTAATGTAGCATTGCAAACATTTCCTAGAAATCGAGTGATGACTATACTTTCCAAATTTAAAGACAAAAATCTAGGGCGAAAAATGAGATGTCACAAAAAATAGCTAAGGTTTAGTTTTTTTAAAAAAACACATCATTCTCCTCACTAATAGGGTGGTGTCAAAGGACAGAAGAATCAACTTGAAATGATTCCCTTTGGTTTGAGAAATATTGATTAGACATGATAAATTTAAATATGAACAAATAATGAGTGCAATTAGTTCAATCATAGTAAATATAAAAACATAGGAAGTTAATAAAAAATTATTAAAATGAAGAGAGTAAAAATAATTTTAATTAGGAAATTCCAAATAGGAAAATTGGGCTAAGTAAAGTCTAACAGAATTAGAAAAGCACTTTTTGCACAAACTATTAGTGGCTCAGTGAATATTGAGGGAGGAAGAAAGAACGATGATAGGTTTACAATCCAGCCATCAGTCTGCAATGCCTCTGCCCCATCACAGCACAGGGGTGAGAGTGGAGGGGCCATGAGGCCTCCCACTGTCATATCACGTTGAATCTCCTGAAGCCTTGCCAAATGTCTCAGTTTTGGGTGGGGGGGTGTTAAGAACAAGCAGACAGATCCAGACTGTGGGACATTTTATAAGACAAATGACCTGAAATCTTCCCCAGGTTTGTGACATGTGAGAGAGGTCAAACAGAAAGAACAGAGGACATTGGTAATTTAAAAACACCCTAGGAACATATTAACAAAGGATAATGTGTAGATCTTATACAGGATTGCATCTGAACAAAACCAGTTATTAAAAAAGGACCATATTTATTTATTTACTTACTTTTTAGTTTTTAAAAAGCAAAACAGAAAAAAGGCTATAAATAATATAGAACTTCAAAAAATGACAGTAAGAAATCAACACTAGGGGCTGGGGGTTTATAGCTCAGTGGCATAAATGCCTGCTTGGCAAATGCGAGGTCATGAGTTCAATCCCCGGCACCAGAAAAAAAAAGTCTCAGATATATATAACTACAAACATGTATATATACATATATCAACACTAATTAATATAGTACATATTGTTATCTTAGAAGTATTTTTTCAAGTTATAAAATCGAAGCATAAAAAGTGAACAGATAATCAAATAATTATAGCACAAACTATTCTTTTTGATGAACTAAGAGAATTAGCAGTATGGTTATCTATCTTGCACACTTAAATATACATACAGTTATATGTGTATACCTACAAATTGTTCTTTCTTTTTAAGCAAAAAGGCCATTTTTGAGAGACTGCAATTTGAACATGGTCTAGATATAGATTGTTAGGAGTGGCATAAATGATGTGGATATTTTTTACAGTTACATATTGAAATATGAAGAGTGCTGAAGTAATCAGAGGCTACCATGAGAACAAAAGGCAGGTGAAGTCCTGGATCCCCAACCCGTGACTCATTAAAAGCATGATTTGTATATTCTTCTGAGGCAGTCAGGATTTAAAAGCTGCTTTTGCAAATAAAAACAAAACAGAAAACAGTAACAATTCATTCGGGGCTACAGAAGCCCAATGGATTAAAAAACAAACGAACAAACAAACAAACAAATAGACTTGAACTTTGTTATAGTTTAGATATTCCCCAAAACTTTCATATGCTCAAAGGCAGGGCTTTTAGAAGGTGACAGAGCCATGGAGGCACTATATGCATCAGTGGGTTCCACTAGTAGTAAGTTCAGCAGCTGACTGTGCTGCTAAGTGGTGGGCATTCTTAGAAGTGAGTCCCTGGGGTTGTATACTGCAAAAGTTTATTTCCTTCCTTGGCTTCTCCTTCCATGCTCTGTTTCCTGACCACTGTCATGTGAGCAGCTCCTCGCTAGGCTCTTCCATCCCGCAGTTTCTGCCTTGGAGTGGGCCAATCATGCATGGGTTGATACCTCTAAAACTGTGAGCCAAAATAAACCTTTACTCCTTTCATTTGTGGGTAAATGGCACTGTGCCTCAGTATCAAGGAAAGTAACCTAGTCAGGCTTTATTTTGTATCTGTCTCCTTTATTAACTTAAAACTTCCGGTGCTTAAGATCCCTGCTTAACAATGCATAAGAGTATGTCAGTCAATTAGGGAGTGTCTGCTTAAAAACTGGCATAGGAAGTTAATTAGCCCTGAATTTTCATAACCTATTTTATCCCTTTTCAGGACTGAGAACATCAAGGTAAGAGATTTAGAGACATTCAACTACAGACAGAAGTCAATGCTCTAAACATTGCCATGACCTTGAATTCCAGCAGAGCTGCCATAAAACAGAATTCCCCAAGCAGAGACAATCATCACAGCGGGGGTAGATTGCCACCTCAAGCCACGAAAACTTCTCCAGTACTGTCTCAGTGAAACTATAATTGATAATAACTCCAACTCCATAAAGGCTGGTTCCTCTCCTTCATTGGATGTTTAGTTTGCTCTTCTTCATCAGAGCTGTGCCCCTCCTGAACTCCTCAAGCTGAAGTCATTTCCCCATTTTTGCTTGTTCTTTCTTTCTAACAAATCAGCCTACATCTCTCACAGACATATCCAGAAACGCTTTTCTGTGACACCACGTCAAGAACCTCTCTGGGTTGAGGTCCCCATCTCTTTACAGTGACCTCTTCAGACTGTCCATTGACAAAATGACAAACAGGGTAGAATGTTCTCTTGGAGTCTTCTGGGAGTGACTTTTAGAACTAGTAACTAACTCCATTTTGTCTTTTTCAGATGAGAAGCACTGATGGTTAGAAAATACTCTAACACTTGACTATTTTTCATTTTACTTACTGCAAATTGCACAGTCCCAGAAGTCCCATTCCTCGAAAATCTGTTTTAGGATCATCACCTTGGAAACCAATTTCACACCACTGCTTAGAAATCCGGGATTCCAGTGGAGTATTTGGCTTCAAGAATTGCCATAACTAGAAACAAAAGAGAATCAATTATCTTGGCAATATATATACACAAATACTCTTTCCTATTGTTTTAAATTTTGTAGACTACATTATTAGAAGAGGTTTACAATATATGCAAATATATTATAATCAAAATCTGATCATCTTTCAGGTATCTGTTACAGCAGTTCACAAAGTATGGGATGAAGGACCACTACAGATACCCAAGATCTTTTCAGCCTGGGTGGCAAAAAAAACAACTCTGTTTCATAATAAAAGTAAGAGGATATTTGTCTTTTTACTCCCATCTTAGGAGTGGACAAAATTTTCCAGAAGTTGCACCATTAGTGTTTCCTTGCTCTGAAGGTAATGGAGTCTGTGCTATATATTTTAGTTCTTTAAACCTTTCAAATCATAAATTAGGCATGTAGGTAGGCAAATAATCTCATCCACACACAAAAAGCTATCTGGGCTGTCTAAAATATTTAAGAGTAGAAAAGGAAAGGGAGAAGAGAGCGAATCTTGAAGCCGTCTACTATTCAATTCCTCAGAAAATGCCTTTCTAACATTATGCCTCAACTTTTAGCAGCACTCTTAACAAAAAGAAAAGTGGGCTGACTTGAGTATCATTTCCTGGGATTTGCTTTTATTATTATCATACTTGAGACTTTACATTATCATATGGCTGAACAAAGCATATTAATAAATATGAAATACATTGTCATCTTTAAGAGTTACCTCAAGGAATTTCAATTAAAATCAATCATCTACTAATAGGAAAATACGAATTCTAAGTATTTTACTTTTTATTGCTTAATAAAATGGTTTTATGTTTTAAGTTTCCCTAAAAAGCTACATTTAGTTTATGTTATTACCTGACAAAGACTGAGACTCATAATTGTATAAATATCCAATGCTTCAAGTATTGTTCCTAATGTAGGTGGGCATATAAGTACACTTTTTGTTATATCTTCATTAGAGACAAACTATAAACAGAAATGCTCTATTTCCTTATAACTATTTCAAAAATAATTCAACTTTGAAAGTGTTTATTATACATTTTATGGATTTTTAAAGCTTCCACTGAGCAGTGACAAAACTACCTTGCTTTATGGTGAACTTTCACACATCTGATACAGGATAAAACAATATTTGATGACAGAAAATACTAAAACATAAAAGCTTGCAGTTTATTTTCTTTCATTATGGTTATTTTAGACATCTAAAATTACTATGGACATTACACAGTATTTTATGTTACTAGTATAGTAGGCAAATTCAATTTATCTAAAGGGCAAGAGAAAAACTTTAGAAAAAAATTCAGTAAACCTGTCATACTTGAAAGCAAAATATCAAACGTGGGTATACAAAATCTCCTTTTATATTCATAGAAGAATTTGCTAGAGCTCTGCCTGCATAAAAAACAGAAACTTTATCAGAGAGATTAGGTAATGAGAGGCCAGGTAATACCACAGGGAAAAGTCAGATTCTAAAAATCCTTTAGAAACTGATTTGGTTATTGCCAAAATGGAGAGAGGCAGCAAAAAGGAGACAAAACATAAAGCTCCTAATATTCATTTGAATAACTTGAAGAAATCTCAGAGTCTACACAGTTAATAAATACCTGGTTTCATTCCAGGGAGTGGAATAACATGGCAAAAACAAGCAATGCATTTTGTAGGTAGTTGAAAAATGTCATTCATTAGGTGGAAGAGTAAAAAGTTTGAATAATAAAATGCTTTAAAAAGAAAATCCTTTTTAATAATTGCAGGTATTAGCACACTAGACTAATGGCTAAAATATGTTCTTGTATAAATTGTTAGTCCATTTACTTTAGAAAGGGTCACTTTCTGAGAAGATGAAAGAAAGCCTATTATGGTGAAATCCTTATATGAAGTACAAGTCTGGGTATATTTCTGCTAAGATTTCTTGAACAATTTTTCTTCTGATGGAGTGGTTCTACTCTGAAAAAGTAAGGACAGGAGGCAGGCTGTCTCTCCAAGATAAGGTAATTTCTTGTACTCAGAAACTGACTTTAAACCTGACTCAGGTGATGCCCCTTAGTGGGGGGCTCTGAGGAGCCTAATCCCCTGCAACTCTGCTCCTGGGAGTGGCGTTATTACACAGCCACCAGGACTGGGTGCTGAAAGTGGGGTGTCGGGAGGCATCAGGTTAGGAAGACAGCTGCCTGAGGCAGAGGACAAGCTTCAGTGTGTGAGCTGCACTGAGCCATTGTGATCCAGCTGTGGCTTTCTCTTCCCTTTGAACCAAGCCTTTACACAGCTCGACTGGGACGCTGCTGTCTCGTCTCAGGTCTGCAGCACACAGAAAGGGGGTGGCCACCTGTTCAGCTTGAGTCAGGGTGTTCTTGAAGAACCTGCTTTTCACAGTAGTCACAATAGGACTGTGTCTTCCCATCAATAAAGGAGAGATGAGGTGTGATTGTTATTAAGTGAATCCACCTAAAAATCTGCCTTCATTTTAATCTGGTTAGAAATTGTAACAGAAACATCTACTTGGGTAGCTCAAGGTAACACTGTTATATGAACATGGTACTCTTATTCAACTTAATCTTAGCCTATGTGCAAATGATCATAAAATCTGGAGTTTTTTTATACATTAGGACAGAAATCATCATTGATAATGTTCTCATCCTCTCCTGAGGCAAAGCCCTTGAATTATTTGACAATATATTAATTGAGCTTATAAATCAGTTGCCCACCAAACTTTGTGAAGAACCAGATGGTAAATATTTTGGGCTCTGTGGGCTATATGGTTCCTGTTGTAACCAATTCATTTTGCTTTGGTAGTAGGTTAGCAGCCAGAGACTACACAAAAATGAGTGCAATGTGGCTTTGTTTCAGTAAAAAATTACTTATAAAAATGGATGGCAAAGGGTCAGGGATTTAGCTCAGCAGTGTAACTGCCTGGCTGGCAAGCACAAGGTTGTGAGTTTGATCCTTGGTACAAAAAAAAAAAAAAAAAAAAAAAAAGGATGGCAAGCCAAACTTGGATCCCAGTTCTTGGCTTGCTGATTCCGGCTCTAAACAATTTTGTGGAGTCCATAGCAAGCATATTACAATATATCTTTAAAATGAAGAAGCCCAACCACATGTCATGGATCGGCCCCCCTGGAAATGCAAGGCATGGTTTCTATCTCAAGGAATAATACAGTGCAGTAGCTAAAAGCCCTTTCTAACCCTATGAGTTTGCACAGTTGATCAGTTGCTCAGCCTCAATTTCCTCACCTGAAAAGCAGGATAATACCAGTATATCAACACAAAGGTATTGTGGCAACTAGATGAAAAGTGGTGTAAAACACTTATGATGACTAGTACACACCAAACACCCACTAAATGTTTTATTATTACTGCTTTTATTATTATCATACTTGAAATTTACATAAGCTCAAGAGAAAAATAAAGATCTTACTCCTGTGTTTGCTTGGGGAGACCAGAGAAGATTTCAAAATTCAGTAAGTAATGATTTAAGAAATGAGCTGATTGCTGCTATACGAATAATGGGTAGCAGAGATAACAGCATCAGGAGGTTCCCAGGCATACAGGATGATGCAGCCTATTCTGGGTCACAGTGACTGATGGCGCACGGTAGAAATATTTAGTGGGAAGGCAAAAGCAGCAGCTCAGGAAATAGCATTGGAAAAGGGCCAAAATGTCATAATGGGTAAATGGGCTTTCTTCTATAGGACATAGGAAGCTTGTATAACCTAGGGAATAACATAACTCAATCTGTGTCTTAGAAAAATATCTCTAGCAGTATTTTATAAGAGAGAAGAGAAAAGTCTAATGGTTAGTGGGCAGAATTACAAGGCTATAACAGCCCAAATTGGAGGTGATGGCTAGAATAAGACAATGGACATGGAAAACTTAGATACTTTGGGGCGCTCTAAGCATAAGATTTAGAAATTTTTGTAGATGCAGAATATATCCCAACTAGACTGTAAGCCCAGCATGAGCAGAAAAGATGACTTTCTTCAAGGTTCCCAACCCGCGGTGGGCAGCTCTAGCTTTATCACTTACCACATGAGTATTCGGAATTAGAAACTAGACCAAAATGCTTTCCATTTTCTCACCTCTAAAATAAAGATAACAAGCATTACTTTGCCAACCTATCTGTGCCTATGAAAAGGATACACACGTATAGTGAAACCATAATCACTGATAGAATAATTTTATAATGTTTCTTAATCTGTAGCTAATAGCCTACAGTAACTCATGAATTCACTCAGATTCATTAAAAACCTACCACGTGCAAGCACACAGAACAGAGCATCTAAAGATATTGCACAGTAGGCACTCAAAAGTCACTAGTAATTCTGAGGGTGTCTCAGCCATTCTAAAGAATTGTTGAGGCACTGTGACCAGTCTGCTATCACCTTTTTTCACTTTCGCTCATCTTTTAGTTCCTACTGCTTTTTCACTTGACTACCTCTATCAGAAAATGGTCAGGAAAAAAAGGCAATAAAAGGAGATGGAACTCAGCTAAAATTAAACAGAGCAAAAAGGGTAGAAGAAAAACTATTTCCAAATACAAGGCCTCTTTAATTTAATGACTCACATCAGATCCAACACTAATTAGTAGAGACAAATGAATCATTTGCTTAAGTACATACATACACAAAACATAAACTCATTTGCACAAAACACAGTAAGATATATTTTAAAAACTACATCACTTACTGAACATTTTCCCACAAAACAAAGTTAAAGCAGCCAAGCAAATGCATCCTCCCAATTTTGTTAGCATCTTTTGAATTCTAGGAAAAGGCAAACAAGCACTCTTATCCTAAAAAGCATCTATTTTTCAGAAGGGAATGTATACAACAAGATTTCAGGTAAGTAGTTATAAAGGTTCCTAGGTTGGTTTTAATTTTTTCTTTGGTAATTCCTTTAATTCAAAATTCAGTTTTTGGGGGAAAGTTCAGTAATGTTGCATAATCCACCATCAGATCCTACAGTTGTTTTGTTTCGTTTTCCAGTGCTGGAGATGGAACTCAGGGTCTTACCCATGCGAGGCAAGCTGATCTACTACTGAGCCACACACTGGCTCCCTGTAAGGTCTTTTTTTGTTCGTTTTGTTTTTTTGTTTGTTTGTTTGTTTTTTGAGACAGGGTCTTCTATGTAGCTCAGACTAACCTTGAACTCACTATATAGTCCAGGCTGGCCTTGAACTTGTGGCAATCCTCCAGCCTCAGTCTCCTGAGTGCTGAGATTATAGGCATGTGCCACTATGCCTGGTGCCTATGAGATTTTTAGTATTCTTCTTTTTTAATGTTTTTCTTTCCTTTAAGATGGGCCAGGAGTATTTATGATTCCATATTATATCTTCATATTAATATGTCAAACATAAACCTTTACATCCTCTTTGAACACTCTCCAAGTTACATGAATAAATAATCAGCATTAGAGTCTTGGGTAATTTCCCTAGAGGGCTATTGCTTAAGCAGAAGTGAACTTCATCTTTGATATGTATTAAAAGTCATAAGTGAAAACCTCAGGATGCTCTTTAACAAATGTTTTCCTCCTATTGACTTTCAACACTTGTGAAACAATCCAAAGTTGAAGCAAATCAGAAGGCCCACCAAAATCACTTCTGATGCTTTCTCCGACACTGGCTTTTATGGTGAAAAATTTAGCAGCAACCTCTGAATCAGCAACAATACTTGGCCTTATCAACCAGCCAGAGTGAGTGTGTCTTACTCACCCATGCGTCCCCAGTGTTTAGGTGCTGTCAGGGCCATGGGGGGGGGGTCAGCTGACAAGTGAACTAATATCTACAGGGACTAACCTTCAAAAGCATTTCTTCATGCTGGGGATTATCAGAATCATAGGGCTCTTTGCGCAGCTTTTCCACATCTGCAATAAGATTTCTGTAGCCCACAATTTGCAGAAGGCAAGCCTGAAGAGAGATTCCCAGCCTAAGGTGTTCAAGAAGAAAACAAACACACACAAAAAACAAAACATGTATGTTTGGCACTTGCTCACTTGATATGAGGAAATAGATCTTTTCATATTAATACAATAGTCAGGAAATTGCTCAAATGGATCAGTATAGTAGAAGCACAATTTTTACTGAAGCTCCATGTGGTTGCATAACTTGGCTATATTTTTTTCTCTCATTCTTTTTTTTCTTAAGCTGAATGACAAGTTTGGCTTAAAAAATAAGGTCACTCTTTATGAAGGCAACTTGAAAGTAAGATGTAGAAAATACAGTTATAATAGGTTCTTACAGATCATTTAGGGCTCCTATGCTGGAAAATCAGAATCATTTCCAAAGAATGGGTATGAAAATGGGGTGGAGAGAGGGAGAGAGGGAAGCAACAAGGGGGGGGGAGAGAGAGAGAGAAAGGAGGCAGACTTGCCTTCTGTGGTTTTATAAAAGAAAATTTTCAAAGTGAGTGAAGCAAAATATCTTCTTGGGAATAGCTCTGACAGACAAGGCAGTAGCAAGACAGAAGCCACAACTTTTTAAAATTTCCCATCATATTCTGACCACTCTACTTGTCTGAGCAATTTTTTCTGCTGAAACAAATCTGCTTTTGCATATTACCACTGTTCTATGCTTATTGCCCTAGGAACCATGTACCTGGAGCATCAACCACATTGTTATAAATTAGTTATAAATTAACTGAGGCGTCACCATACTGTTCTATATGCGTCATCTTGCGGTGTCAACCACTGTTCCCTTTGTGAGAGACAAATGTTCCTGGAATTAGCAGACCAAGGGCTGTAACTTAAGAAAAAAAAAAAGGACTAACCACCAACTACAAAATGTCTCTGACCTCAAGCAAAGGGGAACAAAGGCCTTGCTAATTCCTGCTCTGTCAACACCACTCAGTTAATGTGCTATAAAAATCTGTCAAAATTCTGACTCAGTTGCAGTTTTGCAAACTCCATCTGCTCTGTGCTGCTGGGTACCAGCTTAAATAAAGCGCTCTTTTACAGACGTCTTGCCCCATCCCTCTTCTTGACAACAGACAACATCATGGGGCTTGTTTTTTTGGGGGGGGTACAACAACCACATGGTTCAAATTCTACCTTTCTTCTGCCATGATTCCTTATTTTAAGATAGCAATTCTTTCTTCTAGTCTCATTGCCAGGGTTTAAAGATATTCCCTATTCCTTCAATTCCCTCTCATGGATATGGTTTTCAGCTACTGCACTGTCTTGCTGAGTCTGCTCTGAATGCATACTATTTGATTGACATCCCTCTGAAACTTATCACTAGAACAGGAAACTATTTGGCAATCAAACACACAGAGAACCATCACTTCTCTGTTGAGAGAACAGATATAGGAAAGATTTGCTCTCATATCTAATTCAACCTCTAAATATGACTATATGACTAATATATTCCTCATGCCTAGTTGTCTTAAATTCAACATAATTTAGAATAAATTGCCTTCTTATCACCTTCCTAAAGGAGTAAAATATATGTCAGAAGTTGAAAAAATACGTTTACTACATAATTGCATAAATTCTAATGACTAAGGCAAAGGCAGCTAATTATCTGAAATGGCTACAGAAGAATTCTATCGAAACCAGGTGCAAGTGGAGTTTTTGTGATGAGCACCTGAATAGTTAGTACCTAGAATCCTTCCAAGAGGCAGATCTATGCCAAGAATGCTCTGTGATTCTCTTCAACTCCAGCTCCCTATCCTTGATAATTAAAAGCCTTCCTCAGTGGTAATTTCTGTTCTCATGCAGGCAGAAATAAAAGATAGTTTGACAGTTACCAAACTAAAGCAGTCTTTAAATGTATTTGCACTTGAAATTTATTCTACCCAATGTCCTTGGCCCCAAATTTTACTGAAAAATTCCTGTACCCAATGGAAAATATAAAGCTAATTTTAAAAGTCACGAACACTGCCAAGTGCATTTTAATACTTCCAAGATGAGCAGAATAAATTATAAAGTTTTAAAGTCTTCACAGAAAAAACATCTCTTCCTCCCACACATATTCATCTTCTTGACAAGCAGGTAGGAGCTGCCTCTAAGATTATCTGTCTGTCATGAAAGAATATTCATGAGAAAACTGAGGGAGTATTCTAGATGGAGCATAATCAGCTTAGGTGCCTTTGTGATTTGAACATTTACAGTTAACATGAAACAATGGCATTACAGAGTGCTGATGAAGGGGCTTATTTATCTCCTATTCCAATATCAACAGCATCCATCCCATTTCTGACATTCACTACATTGTGGAAGCATAAGAATAGACCACAACGAAGTACAAAGTTACTGCCAATTGCAAACATGAAAAAACACAGTTTTTTCTTACTGTTCATCAGAAAGTCAAAATGCCACAGATGATTATTTCAGGAAGAGAAGGAAGGAGAGGGAGAGTGAAAGGGAGAAAGATAAACACTAAGTATGCGGCTTTGTGGCTTGTGCTCTGTATTTCTCACATAAGAAACATTCTTACTGTGGATTTATGTCGGGGTTAATTTTTTTCAGTTCCATGATGTCTTCTATAGTTTTTTCAATTGCATCAGGGTGAACACTCACGGAAGTCTGCAACAGCTGGAAAACATGTTTCAATCAGTTCCCCTTTCACTAACCAATGGCTTACACAGTGTCTACTGGGATGGAGGTTACAAGCAGTTGTACAAGAGCTTCTATATGAAGGTCTAAGCTAAAAGCAAACATTATTTTAGTGTACTTGAATTCTAATGAATTTGAATCTTTCATGTTTAGGGTGGAGCTATCTTCCTGATTAAGGTATTTAATGCAGAGCAAACAAACACTCATAAAGCTTTGGTTTTGGTTTTACTATTGTCACCTGTTTCCAGCCACTTATGCTGCAATGTTAAATTTTCTTTCCTTGCCCAATTTAGTTCCTGTCTTTAATAGACTTCATGTCTATACTGAAGTGTCAGAAACATGGGACATGGAGATTTAGCCTCAAGGATATCAAAATTAAATACTATAGAAAATTACCAAGAATCTTAAAAAAGAAAATATATTTTTCTTTGATGAGATGTTTAACTATGAGCTATAAAATGTAACACAGTGGATCCCTGGATTTTATTAGAAACTATGAAATATAAAGCTAAATGATTTAGATACTGAAGAAATACTAGAGAATACTATTCCTGTATCTAGGGATTTTTTTTATAATTTTGGAGAAGATATTAAAAAATGTTAATTTGCTGGGTATAGTGGCACATGCCTCAAATCTCAGCACGTGGGAAGCTGAGGCAGAAGGATCATCAGGAGTTCAAGGCTACCTTGAACAACATAAATGAGACCCTGTCTCAAAAAATAGCAAACAATAAAGGGCTAATTCAACAATGAAGCAATAAATCTGCCTAGAAATTCACAGGTAAAATGTCTAGTGGTTTATGACAGATAAATGATTCTCTCTTCTCAGCTTGCATTAGTTGTTAGTCAATATATCTGTTTCTTAAACTGTTTACTTTTCATAATAGAAACATGCCTATGAAAAGTTGCTGAAAAAATGAGACAATAATTTTACTTACCTTACTTTTGGAATCCCTCAGTGAAGTTTCTGTTAAAGTGACAAAAAAAGTCATTCAAAATGAATTTTGTAAAATTGGCTTAAAATTACTGTACTAGAACATAAAATTGTATTCTACATTCCACCAACTAGCAGGTCATTGCAAATTTAAGCCCCACCCGAGCAACATACAGAGATTCTGTTCTTAAGTAAAACAAAACAAATCAAAACAATGCCTAGGGATATAATGCATTGATAGAAAATTCTCTTGCATTCACAAGGCCCTAGGGTCAATCCTAGTATTGGAAAAACAAACCAACAAAAAAACCAGCTCTGCACTTTGCTTACTTGTTTGTTTCATGCTTACCAATTTTCATGGTTCTTGAAGCTCCAGGTTTAGTACTGTAACAAATTCGTTGCAGTTCACATCTTCCAGTTAGCTTCCTCATTACAAATTTCAGACAACGCCACAAAAATTTACAGTAAAAATACAGGCATACCTGGATCAACATTCTGTGAAAAACAAAAGAAAGCACCTTCCAATAGAACTCTAGAAGAGCAAGCAGCCATCACTAGCAAGACAGCCCAGGAAAAAAGGAATCAGTGGTTAGATATTGGGATTTGCAAGCACAGTTTTATGTTCCTATCTTACTGTATTTACTGGAGCTACACTTATAATTATGACTCCTGATAACCCCGTTCTAGTAAGTTCTATATTCCAGAAAACAGCTGGGGAAACAGCTGGGAATCTTTGATTTTCCACTTCCATCTAAAACACTTTGGAAATAAACCAGATCCAGAAAAATGGCACCTTTTAATATAGCTTGTTACAATTGCTTCTCCATAGTCATGAGGAAGAAAGTCCTATCACCTGCCTGCGCGGACAGACTCTCAGCTCTGTCTTGTTTTTTTTTAAGCTCTTCCTAGTGCCCTTTATTTTTTTAGCCACTTCTACACCTATATTTGTTTTTCCTTGGCCTCTCTCCTTCTGCTTTCCCGGAGGCACTGTGGTCCTCTGGAGGCCTTGGCTACCTAGCTACCTGCCCAGCTCCTGACACTCCTCACACTTGCTGGAAAGCCTCCCCAATGACTCAGGATTCTCATTCTCCTCAGAGATGAAATTCTCTGATTCAAACTTTTCAGAAACTCTGTCTCTACAGAGTCTGTTCTTAACTCTTGCTAAAGCAAGTTTTCTTTACTGTACATCCTACCTCAATCCAATAACATCTCAACAAATTTATGAACTAGCAATCACAGTCTCAAAATGCCTGAAAAGCTTCAGGGACATAGCAGGCCTGTCCCCCAGAACTTACATTCAACCTGTTTTCTCTTCACACGACCATTGCTAAGAAGAAAATATTTTAATTACTTCTCATGGGTGTAATCTCTAAGTTTTTTTCTCAAATGCTCACTGATTCTCCCCAATTCTTAAGAGTAATACGATCTAGGGTCATTTAGGTCAATTAAAGCAGCTAATGATTTCAACAATGTGATCCATTCCCTAAATGAACCAATAGATTGGCTTTATTTATTTGTTCTAATTGCTCTGATGCTGATAGCTTAGAAAAGACTGTGTTAAAAATAAAAGTGTTAACAGTCCTATTTGTACAAAGGCACAGGGTTTAATATCTTATAAATGCCAAGGGAATGGAAAAAATAGTAGAAAAACAAAGCTAATATGGGAATAAAATTATTTTCTAAAAGAATAATATGAAAATGTCCATGATATGTTTATCAAGCAGAGGTTACAAAGGCATCTATAGAATGACCTAATTTCCTTTAAAAAATAAATACTGATATTTAAACAAGGGTAAAGAAAAGACAGGTAGGATACAACAAAAATATCATAGAGGTATCACTAGGTAAGGAAGTTATCAGGTGCTATTGGGAGGCCACAGGACCTTTCAGGTGGGACCTAGCGAGAGTCCATTAAGTCTTTGAGTGTATGCCTTTTAAGGGAACTGTTGAATCCAACCCTTCCCTCATTCTCTTTTGCTTCCTGGCTGTGATGTAAATGGTTGTTTTGCCATATACTTCTATCATGTGCTGCCTTGTTGCGGGCCAAAAAATCAAGAGAGCCAACCCATCCAGCACTGAAACCTCCCAAACCATGAGCCAAAATAAATCTTTTCTTTTTCTAATGATTATCTCAGTTAATCTTTTCTTTTTCTAATGATTATCTCAGTTATTTGTTATGGTAAGGAAAAGGCAATTCACACAGGGAACATATTTTTATATGCCTTACTTAGGATACAGATTAAGCCATGAAATACTTGTACAGGTCTGTACAAAGACATGGCTTGAGTCTTAGAAATGTCAACCCAGCTGGCATGAAGTGTTTTTATGTACAGTGTATTACAGCTAGAGTCCAGCTGTAACTTCTCCCACTGGCCTCCTTGTATATAAAAAGTACCTGTGTTGCAGTTTTGCATCATTGTAACTTTACATAAAAGAAGAAAAGATATTCCATGCTCTGTGTAGTTTTATCTTTCCTTTTAAAAATTCCCCTGGGGATTCTCATGCTGGTAAATACAGTGAAACCCAGCAGCACTCCATACTGGTGCTTAGGGATGAAGCATCATTTTTGAGGAGTCACCATTCTGAATGGGGTGACACCCCTATCCCATAAGAACATAAACAATGTCACAAAGCATAAAAAAGAAATGTTCATTTAAATTCTGAAATGACATTTATATATACTGCTTACCCTCTGGAATTTCTAGGCCAGCAATTCTGATGATGCCATTTATTATCCAAGGTATATTTTAAAAATTTTCCTTCTTTTTCTAATGTGCCGACAAGCTCATAAATATTTCACAAAGGCCATCTTGTCATGGGTAAGTATGTAGTTAGATTCACAGTTAAGTATATTTTCATGCTATGCTAAATACTGAATTTTACAATCTAGATCATTGAATCAATATTTTGAAAGATGTAATTTATTTTTTATTTAGGTCATATCTGATCCAGGCAACAGATGGTCAGAAGTGCAAACACCACAGTTATCCTTATTGTGGAAAAACTATTTCAATGATACAAATAACTTGCTTCCTCATGAAAGGATCGGATCAGCATAACTTACATATGTACAATTGAGGATGACTCTACATGAGTGCATGTCTTAAATCTTTTGTACCTACAGAAGTCCCAAAGTCATAAAGTTCATGGGAAAACTGCTGAGGATTAAAAGCAGAATGATAAAAATGGTTAAATAGTTTGAGTGATTGTTAAATCAGTTTGGTATGTTTAACTTGAAAAGGAGAAACTAGGAAATAGACCTGTAAATGCTCTTGAGCTAATCAGTGGTTGGTTTAAGCAGGAAAGCAGGAAAAAGGAAGGAAGGGAGGGAGAGATGAATGTTTCTCTCCTGAGTTTAAGGACTCTTGGATTTACTGTATCCTTTCATCTTTGTGATTTTCTTTGTTTTACACCTTTGCTTCTGACTGCATTCTCTGAGAGGGGGCATTATGAATACACTCATAAGACAGACTCCGTTTGCTTTCCTGTGCACAGACTCTCGTTCCATCATTCTGATCCATAACCTGCCTACCACCTGAAGCCAGGTATTTCTACCTGGGCTCTCTTTTCTGTCACCCTGAAACAGCAAATCAATAAAGCTTAGTTTTAACTGAGGCAACATTGGCTTGTTTTCTTCTTAACCCTGGCTTTAGTATTCTCAGTTCTGATGGAAGATACTCAAGTCCCTATTAAAGTCTGTTCGAATTTTAAGTTCTAATAGCTCAATTCTGAAGATGAGGAAGAGAGAGCACTGATTGCCATCTCCCTGTTTCCACTCATTACATGCATAGGAAGCAGGTACTTTGCATTTGTTTCAGGTTTTTGATTGTGTTCCAAAGAGTTGAAGGAGGCATTCTTAAGACGAATGTCTTGCTTAAGCCTGGGGAAAATCTGATTCAATCATAGCAGCTACTACAACGCACATTTCCAAAGCCAATTATTAATACACTGTTAATGCCATTTTTTTACTATGCTGCAGAGTGAAGTTTATAACTGAGTTCACAGAAGTTTTCTTCCATAAAGCAATTATGACCATGTTTATTATTCAATATTCATTCTCTAGCTTGAACCAGAATAGCCATCCATGTAAATTATTCAAAATGCATCATTTCTCTGCCACCAAATAACAGTGCGGCCCTGTCTTGTACTGCTTTGTTAGAGGAATCCATTCATCAGGCTGCTACCTCAGACACAGAAGGTTCACCTAGGACCATGTGGCACCTTGCCTGAGGGTGAGGGGTGTGGAAACCGTGCAATACTACTCTGCCATCTTACATTTGTGACTCTGGTGTCTTCTTTTGTAATAATAAGAGAAAAGTAGCTTATTTTGAGCAATTTCAATGAATGTGCTAACGAAAGTCAGTTCTTGCTTGAAGAAGTCCTGTAATAAATAAGAAGGACACTCTTGGTGAGAAAACAAATGTATAAAAAACAAAAACCAACTCCCATTTCTTGACTCAATCCCAGTTTCCCCAAATGAAACACTTTTTACCTAAATGACTACAAAGAAGAGCTAGCTGCTCAATGTTTTCAGCATTGCACAGACTTTCTAAAGTGACAAGTTTTTTAAATTTTTCCACTGAAGTTCCTGATTACAGGTACTGGCAATTGGGGAATTACTGTATGAAAAGTTTGGCCTACTAAATGAGACCAACTCTATAGTCAATTTTCTACCAAGAATACAGACTGCATGGACAGGAAATATGACATCATACAAAAAAATAAAGTGTTTTTCTAGAAAAACAAATGTTTCCCTCCCATAGAAAAGAGAGAGGCCCAAGACCCTATACTCAGGTAGAGTAGGGTCTCATGTGTATTCTCACTATTTATCTGAAGAGATCACAATGTCTCCTAAAAGGAAAAATTAAGTGGGTTAATGGATAAATATTATACATCAATGTTATTATGAATTCTATTGCTATAATAAAGGTCACTATTTTTACTTTCTAGGGAAGTTTTACCTGTGAGCTTAGAGTATATTAGCTGAACATGAGATAATTAAAATAATAAATTAATTAATGGTTTATCTTTTTGCTTGAAAGAAAAAGGAAAAACAGGTTTACTAGTGATAATATTATTCAGATTAAAAATTAGATTCTAAAATACATTTATTGTATGAAATTTACTTTTAAAAATCAAACCTTTATGCTTTTTGGATAATATTTATAAGAACAAGTAGCACAACCATTTCACATTTACAATATCAAAAATATTTAATTGTAATCTCAAATGTAAATAAAGATTTGGTAAATTAAGATTTCTAAAATTAAACCAAAACTAAATAAATATATAAATGAAAGGTAGTTATCAAAGGGTAACATTAATGCTCCATCATCCATTATAAACTTCAAAATTTTCTATAGGACATAAAGAAAGGGATTGTTATTATTATAGATTTCTTGCCTAATACAATATTTTAAAACTGTAAGTCCTCAGGTTAAAAGATATTATCAGAATTATGAATAAATTAATTTATGAATTAATTATAAAATTAA